AGCACTCAACCGCTGCGCCACCAGGGGAGGCCCAGAAAATGCACTTTTTAGAACTTCAACAGGCAGAGCTGTCTACGTGAGAAAAGTAACTTAACTGATAGTATTACAGTGACTTTTAAGGACACGTGCACGCTCCAAACCAGTTGCAGCTGGAGAGTAAGATCCAGTAGGAAGGTGCATAGTTCGGTGGGGAGACCCCGCGCTTCTTTTTATTTATTTGTTTTTTACTTTGTGCACCTGTGCATTGCTTGTTTTTTTTTTTTTTTTTTTTTTTTTTCCCTTTCCCTTAAAGGAACATGTGTCGTTTTAAAATTTCAAAATGTTGAGCTGTGCCTGGCTTGGGAGATTAGGCAATTTCCCCTAGCCCAACCATATAAATTACCCTTCATTTCCTTCTTGCTGGAGTGTTTTCGCCGACTTTCAAGAGACTGATGAGAGATGAAACAAATACACAGGATCAGATGTGTGTTCTGAGTCCTTTCTAGTTGACCCGAACTCTGTGTTCTTGAGCCATGAACTGGAAGAAACAGTAGCTCCTTTTGGGCATTTTAGTCATCTCCTCTGGGCACATAATTGTCATTCTTCTTTAGTAACCTGTTACCTGCAGTGGTGAGAATACAAATAGAAGTTTGTGCACACCTCTAATCCTTCTGTATTTACCAAGGCATTCCTTTGGCCAGGAATTCTTAGCCTTGGAGCCCGTGAGACCACCAGTTCCTACGTAGAGAGTTCAGTGGTTCTGAAAACTGAATGGGGAAAAAAATCACCCACCAACCTTTCATCTAAATTTAGCATATACTTTGTTTATGAATGTGCCTAATAAAGTACAGAGGCATTAACAATTTTGGCGATTTTACACCAGTGGAAATCATAGACGTTTTCATCTCATGTTTCAAATGTTGCTCATCTTTTGAAAAGATCATTTACATACCATTGCCTATAAGCAATGGCAATTAATTTGATTAGGTAATGCATTTACAATGAAGCACATGCATTACAGTATTGCATGTTTAGATTGTTATAATAACTATTGAGCATAATTCATTATTTATGTCTATATATTTTTATTTATGCATTTAAAATCATCATTAGGAGAAGGGACCACAGACTTCTTACTTTATTTAAAATCATTGTTCTGAGACAGACTCTGTCCCCAATTGCCACAGGGGTCCATGGCACAAAAAAGGTTGTGGACTCTACCCCAGCAGAGCTTTTGTTATGTAGGTGCATAAATATCCAGATTGGGGCTCACACTCTCCCACATTCCCTGTGTGACCCAGGTGAAAATTTCACCCCTGTTTTGAAATCTATCCAATGTTCTTTTCTGTGGGATTTGGCACCATTTTTTGAGCTCTGAAAATACTCTAAACTCAAGATTAGCAGCAATCAGTCTTTGCAACTGGAGAAACACTAAATGTCATTTTCCTTTGATTTAGTAAGTACTTTCATAATTTTCCAGTGACCTCTACTTTGAGTTTTTCCAGCTTGTTAAATCACTGATTTCTTTTTTCCCCCTGTGGAGAAGGAGAGTAACACACTTGAGGAAAAATCAACAAGTAATTATTAAGCACCTCCTAGGATGGCAGGCGGCATTTCAGAAGCCAGTCTTCTCCCTGCCTCCTCTGTCTGCTTCTAGCACAAAGGATCGGGCCCTCTTAGAAGAGAACACCAGTTAGCTTATCCTGCCTAATCTTATTCTTCCAGCTTGCAAAAGATCCCCTGTGAGACTAGAGTTGACTTAGTGAATGAACTAAACCCTCTTTTGACAAGAGAAGTTTGAAAGTAATTTTACTCTCACAGTCCTAGCTGCAAAACGGCTAGTCACTTCGTGAAAAAAATGGATCATTTTCTGTGTTAAAATCCCTTTGATTTGGGATGAAGCTCAGTTTAGATATTCTTGTGCACAGTTCTGACAACGCTCATATTTTTGTAGAACCAAAGATCAGTTTAGCTAGAAATGACAGTTTAGAGAAAAGATAATAGGTTGGGCATTGGGCCATTTCAGAGCAAAAACAGACATTAGGGTTCACTGGTTCACCCCCTTCAGTTTGGAAGGATTCGTGGTCTATCTGGAAGCCCCTAGAATACCTGGGTTAGGTGCCGTTTCTCTGCTCCTGCAGCTTTCCCCTCCATGTGACACAGGACACGGCTCTCCGTAACAGCAGCCCAGTATCGCATGTGGTGGCAGTAGGTACATAAGATTGTAGTTGGGTTGCGGGTCTCACTGGAAGTGGTTCTGCAGAGGAAGTGGGCCTAAGGGGTTGGTGGTGTGATCCTGAAGCCACACTGTGAACTTGGGCTGCCATGCTTCTGCTAATTGGTCCTCAGCACCACACTGCACTCTCCATCCACAGAGCAGGAGAGGCAGCAAGAAGTGTCCCAGGGGCACACAGAAGGTCGAAGATGCTATTCTCTGCAGTAGCGACACTCTCTTCTGCACAGGGGAGAGAACCCTGGCTTTTAAGTGCCTTTGTGCCAGACACATGGTGGCTTACTTATACCTTACATAGTGTCTCATTTAATCCTCACAAGAAGCCTGCTGGTGGCTGTATCTCTATTTTATAGAGAAGAAAACCAGGGCTGAAAGAAATTAACTGATTTTCTCAGAATCATGTAACTAGGAAATTGAGAACTAAGACTCAGTACCAGGTCTTTCTGCTTTAAAGTTTTTATATTTTTTATATTATGAAGCAAATAACATCTGAATACCCTCTTATAAAAAATGTGAAAGACCATCAAATATACAGAATAAAACACTTAAGTTTCTTTTTTTCTCTATTCTGCTAACATACTGTCCTCCCCACAATGAACCACTGTGGACAGTTTGTCCTGAACTGAATCCTTCCAGGTATTTTGTTCAGTGTACACACACAAACACACATACACACACACGTATACACACACACACAGCACCCCCATATACTTGTACAGCATGAAACAAATGCATAGATAAACCTAAGACCTTTTCTACTAAATTGTAGTTTCTTTATTATAAAAAAAATTACATATTACAATAAACACCTTTCTGTGTCTTATTTGTAGACATGATACTTGTAATTGTTTAGCATTTATTGAGCACTTTCTGCATGCCAACACTGGCCTGAGGTGCTTTGCCTGTATTATTTTTTTTTTAAAGATTTTTTTATTTATTTATACAAGCACTGGGTACAGTCAGAAGCGTGTGAGGGTGAGAGAATTCACCAGAGCCAGAGCGGGGAGCAGAGCAGGCAGACTGACGAAGTACACTGCTGAGGGGAGCAGCGGGCGCTGCAGGAGAGGTCTGCGCGCCATGTGGGACCCTCACCAGCGGCCGGGGATCGAACCGGCTCTGCAGAGGCTGCAGGCAGCTTTGCAGCCCAGTGCTCAACTGCTGCGCCACCAGGGAGGCCCTGCCTGTATCATGTTATGCATCCTCACAGGAAGGCCCCTGAGTTGACATTTACTAATGAGGTTTGAAGTGAAGGTCACATAGCTAAGAAGAGAAAAGCCAAAAGCCAAGCCAGGGTTCTGGCTCCAGAGCTTGTGCTCTTACCCACTACTTGGTGCCCATACTCACTGTGGAGTCCCAGAGAGTCAGGGCTTGATCCCATGAACTGGGATCATCGTTGGGTTTTTATGTAAGGGCAGAGTGTAGTGAAAGGACTTGGGGAACCTGTCTGCATCCCTTGGCTCATCCCCGCAGTTCCACTTCTCTGTCACTATAGCCACAGCTGCTTGCACTGTCTTTGGCTTGAGTTAATACAGCAACAACAGATGGGCCTTCCTGGTGGCGCGGTGGTTGGGCGCTGGGTTGCGGAGCTGCCCACGGCCTCTGAGGCGCCGGTTCGATCCCCGGCTGCCCACATGGCGCACAGACCTCTCCTGCCGCCCGCTGCTCCCCTCAGCAGTGTACTTCGGTCCTTCTGCCTGCTCTGCTCCCCGCTCTGGCTCTGGTGAATTCTCTCGCCCTCCCGCGCTTCTGACTGTATCCAGTGCATGTACAAACAAACAAACAAATAAATAAATAAAACATGCCTCTATTAAAAAAAAATACAGCACAACAGGGCCTAGTGCAGAGCAAGCGCTGGCTCCAATTTCCTGTACCGTACACAGTAGTTCACAGGCTGCTTCCCGGTGCAACATGACTTAATCTTATATTTAATCCTGCAGCTCTGTGTGGATGGCATCACTGCAGCTTTTTGATGGCTGAGGAACTGAGGGGCAGGGCGGTGGAATGACTTAAGCAGCACCTGATGGTGGTTCATGTTTGATGCTGTGACAAGAGTGCTTACCTTCTCAGGAGAGGGGGGCTTTGGAGGAGAGTATTTTGCACTCCTGCTGCACCTTCCTCCAGGGTGGCAGGTATCTCGTGAGCATGTGTGCCCAATGCATCCTTAAACTGCATTTTGCTGGACTTTCGTGTTCCTGTGCAGCCAGCCATTCTCAAGGCTGGGGGAGCTGAGGTCACAAGGAAGCACACCCCTGGGATCTCACTTCAAGAAGAAACTTGCAGGGCCTCCCTTGGTGGTGCAGTGGTTGAGCGCTGGGTTGCGACGCTGCCCGTAGCCTCTGCAGCACCAGTTCGATCCCTAGCCACCGGCGAGGGTCCCACAAAAAAAAAAAAAAGAAGAAACTTGCAGTTCAGCTGCAAGGGCTGCAGTAGCCACAGCCTCAGCTGTGATGTAACCCTCCCATTCTGCTGGCAGTGTGAAGGGGCTCCCAGTATCTGACTCTTTCTTCTCCAAGGGTCTTTACTGTATTTGCCCAGAGAGCTGCCTGTGGGGTTGGCTGCCAATATTGGTTTACCATGTTGCTCTTTTCACCTGCCTGCCTTCCTTACACAAGGATCAGATGGGCATTGTGGGTCTAGAGGCCATCTTTGCCCTACTCAGTTTCCTTCCCTTTTTATCTTTCACAGGCATTCACCTCCAGGAGCCTCTTGCATGGGCAACTGCAACTCAGCATCTGCTTCTTGAGGACCCTGCTGATCCACTGGGTGCTTTGAAAAGAACTGAGGCCCTCAGAGATTTCATTGACCTGCAGTGCAGCCTGGGTGATTCCAAGGAGCAGCTTAAGCTGAGAGTGACCAAGACAGAAGGGAAGCCAAGAGGTAAGTGTCCCATGTGACACTTACTTCATTGCAAATACTATCTCATTAAGGAATCCTAGGATCATAGTGTTTTTAAAGAATCTATATTCTACTCCCTATTAGATAAATAATATACATTTTAGTCTCACTTATATTCAGTCCTATACTGTGCCTGACACTGAGCAATTAGGAAGAGTTGATTACGAAAGAAGTAATAGGTATACTGGGGCAAAACATTCTTGTACCTGGAGGCTTCAAAACAGCCAGGGTAGGAAAGGCTGTTTCTTCTGCTACATTCTCTCCACTTATCAAAGGGAACATTTAAGAAACCTAAAAATAAGGAAACGAATTTCCTAAAATCTGGGTAGGGAAGCTGTAACTTTTCAAGTTCATGACGGGACTTTTGATGTCCATCGGGCATCTTATAAAGTATTGGCCCTCTCTCCCCTCAGGGACTCAGCCATGACCAGGAAGATCTTCACAAACACCAGGGAGCGATGGAGGCAGCAGAATGTCAACAGTGCATTTGCCAAGCTACGGAAGCTCATCCCCACTCATCCTCCAGACAAAAAGTTAAGCAAGAATGAAACACTTCGCTTGGCAATGAGGTATATCAACTTCTTGGTCAAGGTCTTAGGGGAGCAAAGTCTACAGCAAGCAGGAGTAGTGGCTCAGGGAAACATTCTGAAACTCTTCCCTCAAGAGCCCCACCTGCCGGACACAAATCTGCTGGGTGACTACCAGGTTCCCTCACCTGGCCCCAGTCACCACATTCCCTAGTGTGGCTCTGGAAGTCATTTCTCAGAGCAGCACTTGTTCAGTTGTCGCTGATGGTCCAGAGTCAACTTGAATAATTCCTGAGGTATGAATTGAAACTTCACAGGAGGTGGTTCAGTGGCAGCTGCAGAGAGCAGTTGGGAGGCCTCAAGGCACATGACTTTGGACTGTCCAACCCCTGGGGGCTCAGACAGATGTTTGGGGGAAAAAAGTCATAACTTAGAAACTAATTTGAAAGTCACTAGTTTATTCAGTGTGTTTCTAATTATAAGGATTTTTGTGATAGTGGATCTTCAGGTAGATGAGTGGAAAATGCTTCCTTTGGAACATATTTTAAAGCTTATTTTGAAAAAAACAACGCATATTTTGATCAAGGATGAATGGACTAAATTTTAAGGTTGACAAAGGAAAGGATAGTGTTGCAGAAACCAACCTGGAGACTTATGGGAATGTCTGTGGAAAAAAGACCCACTTGGTGCGTGAGGGTTATAGGTAAGCAGCAGATGCACGTGGAAGGGCTCTGCATCCATTATCTCCATGGAAAGGTTAGGTGTGACCTGCGTAGAGCCCTCCATCTGTATGTACTCTCTCGAGCCAAATAGAAGATAATATCTGTGAGATGAAAGTTCTTGATAATTTATGAATTGGAGTTTGTAGTTTTCTTATGATGGACAGTTAGTTAAAATAGGTTATCTAACCTTTTTGTTTCCATGTCAGGTACTAAAACTTTAAATTCAGCCTGAGTTCCTGCTGACTGGAGACTTGTAAAATTCAATTATTATTATAAAAATCCAAACATTACCATTTAATGACTCTTTGACAGAGAACTTAAACAAGAGTTCGAGTAGACAATATAATAGTAATTAATGATGAATTAATGAATTTGTAATTTGCCTTCCCTGCTGTGGAGCTGTAACTCAATCTCATACCAGGAGGGGATTGTGCTCACAGGCCAAAGAAACAGCCTGGATGTGGCAGAACTCACCATCATGTACACTCTGAAGGCATGTGGATCCGAAGACACACCCCATAGTTAAGCCCAGACTGTATATAATGTCATTTGGTGGCCTTGGGGACATTTTATTTCCCCAGTTCTTAACAATACATTGGTTTTAAAACCTACTTATCAGGTAGGAAATTGATGGATATGAGATTATGGATTTCCAATGTATATACAATAGTGGAATTTAAATTTCCTGCCCTGATAGAAAGAAGATAATTGATTTATGAAAGGCTGGTTTGGTAATAGAAGAAAACAGAATGAGGCTCCATTGAAATCTCATGACCCCCAAATAGGAAGGTCATAATGTCATTCACACATGTAACACAGTTTATCAGGAGCAATACATTTTCCTTCTAGGTTCTTTATTTAAACTGCATTCAGTAAACTCCCTTGAAACCTGGAATAGTGCAGGGAAACACATAAACACAGAGGCCAGGGGATTTCCCTCAAATATTAACTTCTTCCTCATGGGCTTATGTGAACTTCATTTTGTCCTGAAACTACCAGGTGATAGTACATCTCAAAATTTTGATGACACCTGTCAACGCAGTAACATTATTTTCTCATCTGACATTAAGTCGAAATAACACATTTGGCAGCATTTTCATATTAGTTTTATTTTAAAGTCTTGCCAAGGGAGACACAGAGGAACACATTGCCTGAGCAGGATTTTATTGCTGTTCTCAGAATGAGTGCCCTTTTTTGCTGTCGGGGCCACAGTCTCTGTGCAGCCACCCTTTGTACCAAAATATCACAGATTGGCTCCTAAAAAGTCACAAGGCGATTGAGTTACCATTAAACTAGATGAGGGAGATAATTAACTAAAGAGACACTGCAGGGAATCCTTTGATAAACATTTAAAACATTACGTGATTCACTTCTTAAGCTATTTCTTTGGCAAGCGTGGAATTTTTGTATATCAAGTTGTGTTAGGTTAAAGTGACTCTCAAAAGGAATTATAGTTGCATGTGGAGCAAGACCTTGGAAAAGGATCCATGAGACTGGAAGCTAATTTAAAAGGCACTCCGCAGTTGTCCTTGGTGCCCTGTACTTCAGGCTTGGTAATTGCTGTAGTAAGAATTTATAGTTCAAACACACGAGAGTTCACCAATGCCACATTTCTTTATGGAGCATTTGAGCCCAATAGAAAAGTTTAGACTGATTGTATAATCAATGCTACTCTGTCATTTGGGGGAAAGAAGTGTTTGGTCTGCTATGGACACCACTGGAAACATCCAGAAATCAGGTACAAATAGGTCCATTGAGTCTATAGATCATTAGATTTGGCAATTCTCTTCCTCGTTTTACAGAGAAGGAAAGTTGCAGAGGGTTTTGAAGTTACTTTCCATAAGGGCACACAGACAATTAATAGGCATTAAGGACGGAGTGCCAGGGCTCCTGTGTCAGTGGTCAGCCTTCCGACAGCCCTATTCTGTCACCGATTATTTTAGGCTAGAAAATGGACAAGTACCTCATTGCTATGCTCATCTCTCTTCAACAGTGTCAGTAATCTTCATGTGCCCTTTTATGGAAATGAGTTATTGTTCTTTGTAGATTGTGACTAGATGTATCAACCAAAGATTTTATTTGTCGATGTGTTTGGTGAATGTTAAACTGTTGATTACAATTTGCTATGTAACCTAATTTATTGAAAATAAATTATTTAAGCCAAAAAATTGTTTTTCCTTTAAAAAAAAAGTTTAAAAGATTTACACAGCACATCCACCCATTCTTTCCATCCTCAAAGCCATTCCTAGATTTGATCCCTCCCCTTACCATTATCCATTGTCTTTAGGCAAAAAAAAAAAAAATCTAGCATCTTTTGTTTAGTCTCTCTCTCCCCCACCTCCTGCCCTCCCTCTCTTTCCACTTCACCTTTCACACAGCTCCCTGATTGTCCTTCTCAAAGCACAGCTTGGACGAATCACTCCCCTGTTAGCAAAATTTCAGTGTCATGTCCACCAGATTGAGACAAATGCTATTCCCCAGCCAACCAGACCCTCTGCATCCTGGCCCCACTATACCCTTTCCTTTGCCGTCCATAATCCTCTAAATATATTATACATGCTAATGAGGTTACTTCACTTATGGTCTCCAATCATGCCCCAACTCTTAAATACCTCTGACTTTACTCTATGTTTCTGTCTACATGCTTGAATATTTCCACTCTCACTCATTCTGTTTACCCAGTCACCTGTACCAAATTCCACTTGTAAAATCCTTCAGGACTGAGAAATATCACACCTTCAAAAAACAAAAAACATGATTCATCTTTTTTTTTTTTTAGATTTATTTATTTATTTATACAAGCACTGGGTACAGTCAGAAGCGCAGGAGGGTGAGAGAATTCACCAGAGCCAGAGCGGGGAACAGAACAAGCAGACGAAATACACTGCTGGGGGGAGAAGCAGGCGTGGCAGGAGAGGTCCATTGCGCCATATGGGACCCTCGCTGGTGGCCGGGATTGAAGCGGTGCTGCAGGCTGTGCTGCAGAGGCCGCGGGCAGCTTTGCAGCCCAGCGCTCAACTGCTGTGCCACCAGGGGAGGCCCAAACATGACTCATCTTAAATGCTACCTCTTGGGCCTCCCCGGTGGTACAGCGGTTGAGCGCTGGGTTGCAAAGCTGCCGGCAGCCTCTGCAGCGCTGGTTCGATCCCCGGCTGCTCCCCGGCCACCAGAGGAGGGTCCCACATGGCGTGTAGACCTCTCCTGCCGTGCCCTTTGCTCCCCTCAGCAGCGTACCTCATCAGTCTGCCTGTTCTGTTCCCTGCTCTGGCTCTGGTGAATTCTCTCACCCTTTGGCGCTTCTGACTGTACCCAGTGCTTGTATAAAATAAATAAATAAATAAATAAATAAATAAATAAATAAATAAATCTTGAAAAATAAAAAATGCTACCTCTTACATGAATTCCTCCTAGATTTCACCACTTAATCTGATCTTTCCTTTCTTAGAATCACCTCATGTGCTTCATGAACCTTACTTCCTCTACACGGTGTTACCTCTGTGTATATTCTGTCCTCTCCCAGTCCCAAGCTAAGAACTCCTTATGGATAAGAATAATCCCCACAAAAGTCCTGCGAGTGTGCTCACTTTTAGAGTGATGAAGCTATATTAGGATGGGCTCTTTAAGAATATGCCTCTGTCTTCAGTTCTTTGAACTGAAACTGGAATGGACTGGATTTTCCTGAGAAATCATTTTCCTAATAATTTCATTCAACACTGCCCTTGTAGCACCAGCTATCTGAGGTTTCATCACCTAAGAATGGCTTCAGATGGTCAAAATATGTATGTTATGCACAAATGGCTTTGTCCTTAAAAAGGCATAAGATAAAGGGGTCTGGGAGAAAGGACAGCTTAACTGCTGACCCAGAGGCCAAAGGTTACTTAAAAGTCACATCCTTAAATAAAACCTTCAAAGACAAGGAGGGAATCTACAAGTCCAATGGCCATGCAAAGTGAGGGGTTTAAAGTGGCAGGTGTTACAAAAGGAATGTGGAGAGATGAACATCATGAAAGGATTGTAGGGAGTCAGGTGGCCTGGCTACTCCTCAATCCTGTCTGCACTGCCGTGACCGTAGAGGTCACTCCACACAGGGAAACATTCCTCTTATTTGCTCTTTATTGCCAATGGCCTAGCACAAATAGGTCTTTAAGGGCACTGGATTTTACATAAATCTTGGGTTGGTAATTTATCAAGTAACATTTACTCTAAGAATTTAATTTCTAGAACTCAAGAATTTCCTGGAGTCTAATGAAACAAGCTGTTGAGCTGTCTTTCCTTGATAACTTTTCTTCATAGCAATGCTGTATTGTTAGTCTATAATAATAATATGATTGTGTATCTTGTCTACCTAAGGACACCTTATCTCAGTTCCTTTTCCTCCACTCCACCACGATATGTAGGGCATGTATGAAATCCAACTGCTTCAACCACCAGTCCGAGAGAGAGAGAGAGAGCGGGCTGTCAGGACTAGTGAGTTTCTCTGGCCCTCTCTTGTTCTGCTTCTTATCCTTTTTCACAGATACCAGTCTTCTGGCCCCTCATCTCATGCTTAAGTTGTTCTGTGTGTTCACTTTAGCTTCCAGCAAATGGAAATTCCTTTCCTACCTGCCTCCCTAGACCAGGTTTC